TGATACCCTCTGGTAAAAGTGAAGTTTATCAAAGTTCAACACCGTTTAAAATTTCTCTATGGTTGGTTAGACGAACTGGTATGTCAGTCCTACTTTTGCACCTCCCAAAAATGCTTACTGTATACCTTTTTTAGACCGAAACCTGCTGAAAAGCCCGCGAAACCCACCGAAAAACCCGCGAAACACACTGAAAAGCCCGCAAAGCCCGCGAAACAACAGCCAAAGCAAGATGACGGTATGTTCACCATTCACGATTGATTGGGTGTTGTCTGTTTACGCGACCCGCACTGGTTAGCTCCATTTGGCCCCCATCGTGTCCTCTCCCGTATCTGGTTTTCTTTACTTTTTATCAACACTAGGCCCATGTGGGAGAGTGGGGCAGACATTGAGGTAAGTCGTCACCGTCGCTGTGCGCCGCTCTCTTGGTGGACCTAGTCGAACTTTCTGTTAGCACCAACCATATACTACTGATATGGGACAACCGACATTTACAATTGGGCGTGCCACAGTTTTTCAACAGGGGTTTCAAAAAACTCCGTTAAGCTTCATATTCCTTGCTAGATGAACGGCGTCGCTCCGCCTAGCTGTCACAGATATTTTCTCAAAATACGCGACTTTAATGCCCCGTTTCCTAGAACTGCTGGCCTATTGTTTACACTGAACTTTTTGGGTGGACTATCGACAGCTGGCTTGCCGACGAACGTTTTTTCTACTAGACAGCACTTATAGCTGATTCTCTGTTCATCACCAAGCTATCGCACATTTGGGCGAAACCGTTATAAGGTAGTGAGTACGGAATGCAAGTGGTTTAATCCAGCGTCATTTAAACACTACTGTCGCTTATCAGTAACCAATGCGTGTTCAGGTCCTTGTTGTTAAAAGCGTACCCCCGGAGGGAGCGTTTATTTTAAGGGAACAAATCGGAATGCTTTTCTTTCATAGCCAGGTGCCCCGACCCACATCCGTTCATTTTTACGCCGTTCTTGCCAACAAGGCGTGTGCGTGAGGGAAGAGAGAGAGTCTGATCGATGTTGCGCAATTCGGCCATAGTATAGTAGTCGCCGGTTATTAAGCCCACCTCGGGCCCAGACCAAATTGGGCT